TTGGGGGCGGGTATGGGGGTCTTGGTGGGGTTATTCGAGGTTCTGTTCTGTGTTTTATTGTGGGCGTGGTGGCGACGACCCCCAACTGGTCGGTGCCGACCAGCTGACTGTTGGGGTATGCAACACTGATTTCTATGGATAAAAAAAAAGAAAAAGGCAAAAATACTGTCACACCGTTGAGCTAGCTTCAACTCAACAGTGCGTGTGCGACATGGCCCCTGCGGCTGGTCAGTTTCCCGCTTGATATCTAAAGGTCATCACCCTTTTCTTTTTCTTTTCGTTTAAGGAAAAAAGGAGAGAAAGAGTGCAGCACCTGGTGGGGATGAGGGGCACACAGCAGATGGAATAAGCCACTGAGGGGCAGTGGAGGAAGATGGATGGGGTGAGGGAGGGCATGGTGGATGGAATGGCCGGGGATGGGGATGGGGGAGAGGTCAGAGTGGGAGGGGGGGAGTTTTGGCATAATTGAGGGGAAATGGGTGCGGGGCGAAGCAAGAGTGCAATGAAGAAAAACATGAAAGCGAGGACATGGAGACACGAGAGGTGGAGAAGCGTTACAGAGTTGGAGAGACTTACAGAACTACGTCATCGATCATGGAGGACGGGAACCCCTTGCCCTCTGCATAGCAAGGGAGGAATAAGAACCGAGCATCTCGCATTTTCCGCTTGGACATCATCGCCTCCGTTTGCGGATGAATCTGGTACATTGGTTTCAAGTAGCGGAAGCTCTGATTGTACATCATCTCTCCGATGACTTTGCTGTTCCCATATTCGCCCACCCATCTCTCCACATTTGTAACAACCAAAGAATTGGTAACCTCCATTGCATGCGTCTTTGGGTTCATCACCACCTCCCCATCTGCTGCCATGTCTGCCCCTCCATCAAGCGAGAAATCCTCTCCAAACACAACGGTGTGCTCTGCTTCACACAACATTTTGTTAAGGCAAGCCGCAAGTGGGATCAAATAATGCAATTCTCTGAGATTCATTGCACTGAATCACTGAAACAAAAAAAAAAAAAAAAAAAAAAAAAAAAAAAAAAAAAAAAAAAAAAAAACCCCAGCTGGGGAAGATCTGCGGTCCCGTGGCGATTCCTGCACCAATGGGATCGAGGTCTTCTACAGGATGGCCTCTCAGCCTAACGCTGTCCGAATTACTAGACCCCCCCCACCCTAGCCAGGGTACAATTTTCTCACAACCCTCCTGATTTCATTCCCCCTTCAAATGAAAATGAAAATGCGGTGCCGACAGGGCTGAACCCGCGGCACGTGAAGCCCCCTGCCGGACCTCCTCCCTGGGTCATATCCCTGACACCCTGCAACCCTTTTGAAAAAAGAAAGAAAATGAAAATGTGTCATCAGACTCATCACAGGAGCAACAGCCACAACAGCCACAACAGCCACAACAGCCACAACAGCCACAACATCCACAACAGCAACAACAGCAACAACACCAGAAGCACCACCAACAACAGAAGCACCCACAACGATGACGACAATGACGATGGCAACAACAAGAACAACAGAAATCCAATTGTACATCATCTCTCGAATGACTGTTTTGTTCCTATATGCACCCACCCATCTTTTCACATTTGTTAACAATCAAAGAACTGACCACCTCTACTGCATGCATTTTTTGGATTCGTCAACACCTCACCATCTACCACATTCGCCCCACCACTAAGCAAGAAACAGTCTCTGTATACAAGTGCTCTGCTTCAGAAGACATTTTAAATGCAAGCAGAATAAGAGAAAAATCAGAATAATGCAATTTTCTGAGATTCAGTGCGCTGATTTCATTCCTAATGTAAATGACAGTATGCATCACCAACCGCAACAGCCACAACAGCCACAGCAGCATCAACAACAGAAACACCCACTGCGATGGCAATTACAACAATTGCAGCAGCAGCAATGCTGAACGAGACAGAAGAGACGAAGAGAAGAAGAGGGAGAAGAAGCAGGAGAAGATGCGGGAGAAGACGTGGGAGAAGAAGAACGACAACGAGGAGGAGGAAGAGGAGGAGTGGAAGGCTATGGAACATAAAGGTAACGTATTGGACTGGAAACCTACAACTGATGGTTTGAATCCAGAGAAGAGAAATCCGAAGAAGAAGAAGAAGAAGAAATCCGAAGAAGACAGAAGAAGAAGTAGACAGTTGAAGACGACGAAGACGACGAAGACGACCAAGGAGGAGAAGGAGAAGGAACAACGAGGAAGGAGGAGAAGAAGAGGAAGAGGAAGAAGAGGAGAAGAGGAAGAAGAGGAAGAAGAGGAAGAGGAAGAAGAGGAGGAAGAGGAGGAGGAGGAGGAGGAGGAAGAAGAAGAAGAAGAAGAAGAAGAAGAAGAAGAAGAAGAAGAAGAAGAAGAAGAAGAAGAAGAAGGAGGAGGAGGCTGTGTCGTCAGAAAATTTTCGCGCTAGCGCTGCTTGGTTAGCGCTCCCGCCTGCGCTAGGTTCAGGGTCGCCGTGCGATTTTCAAACAGGCGTGATCTTTCGCGCGCCCACGTATGCACCATCTCGAAGGACGAGACGGAGGTGATCTGAGCTCTCTGCCCCCCCACGTGCCCGAAGCTATTCGGACCAAGGCTTTGAGAGGCGGCAGCTCGGGTAAAGGGTGGACAACTGACGAAGCGGACACAGCCATAGCCAGAGCTGATGTGAGCTGGAACTCAAGGGAGTGATAAGGCGAAGTGTCAGTTCCAGACTAGAGGCTGAGTGACGACATACGACCAGCGGTTTTCTTGGCAAGCCATCGGATTCTTCGTACACTTTGATGCGTAATCAGGTTCTTCGATATTTTCTGATCTCTCCCCACTCTCTTGTCCCTCTACCTGTCCCTTCCCTCCCCCCCCAGACTTCTATTAACTCGCTTCCTCCCCCGTGACCTGTCGGCCCAGGTCGGAGGTCGTCTGAATCCAGTCGTCCTCAGCTGTTTAATCCACCCTGCCGCTCTGCTTTGGTTCTGCCTTCTTCACCTCTCATCTACTTTAATTGGTCGTAACTCCAAATCCTCTCCCTCTCCATGCTCCATTCCATTCGACCGCAAACAGTCCCTCCGCCCTCCGTTGCCATTCAATCCTCCCTCCCCGATCTCCAATCCT